GTAGTATTTTGTGCACTGCAGCACTGTATGACCCTTGTCAGTTTAGCACTTTCTTTGATTATAATAATAATATACAGTGGTACCTTGAGTAACGATAGGCTGTAGTTACAATCACTTTGAGTTACGATTTATCCCTCATAAAGGAATTTAGTTTTGAGTTATGATGAAAAATTTGAGATTGGATATGCATGCAATGGTCAAGGTGCATGTGGATGGGCCTCAGCCCAGAGACAAGAAAGGGTGATAAAAAGATCTTGTGGAATGATAGTGGAGGGTGTGTTGGAGGTGAGCGGGAGGGGGATGGCAGTGGGTGGGACTGAGGAAGAGTTGGAGGGAGGGAGATCATATTCGTTCCAGACATGGACAGTGGGAAACAGCAACAATGAGAGTGTAAATAACAAATCTAATTCTTCACCAATCTGTTCACCTGCCTGCTTTTCCTTGGCATACACTTTATCTTGCTTTATCTGCTGTAGTCTATCTGTTTGCTTGCTTTAAAGGGAAAGATGATGGAGGGTGTGCTGGGAGTAAGAGGGAGGGGTTGGGGTGAGGGAGGGAGACCATATGTGTACCAGACGGGATGGTGAGAGACAATGACAGGAGTGTCAATATTAAATCTTCAATTCTTTACCAGTCTACCTGCCCACCCACCCTACTTATCTGCCTGCCTGAATAAATTAAATCATAGGTGTCCCTGTTTGCAGATGATTTAAAATTATTATGGAGAATACAAACAGGAGCAGACTGGGAAAGACTACAAATGGATCTGAGCAAGCTACAAAACTGATCTGACTAGTGACTATTAGAATTTAACCCCCAGCAAATTCAAAACTGTGAAAACTGGGAAAGGGCAAAGAAAACCTGAAACAGAGTAAAGGCTTGGAGGATAAAAGTTGCAAACATCCCTGAAAGAGAAGGCATTGAGGGTTTCGCTTAAGACACACAACCAGATAACTGCTTCAGTAAACATGAGACTGGCATATTTAAAGGGTGGCTTTGAGGAACCTCATCAAGGAGACATTCACAGTCTTCTGCATGGCATATGTCAGGCCTTCTTGGAATATGAAGCACCAGTATGGAACTCCCATTTTATAAAGCATGTCAGGAAGCTGGAAGTAAATGCAAAGGTTTGCTGTGAGACTAATCCCAGGGCTGAGGGGTATGGTATAAGCTATGAAAAAAAACTAGAGGAGGTAAACCTAGTGACACTAGAGGACAGAAGGACCAGAGGTGATATGATTACAGCATACAAAATACTGAGAGGAATAGACAGGGTGCATCTGTTTGAGAGGCAGATCTCAGGTACACAAGGGCACAGCTGGAGGCTAAAAATACATGAGTCACAGGGATGATCAAGAAATACCTATTTAGCCTTAAAGTCATCAAGAAGTGGAATAACTTAGACAAAGTGGTAAGAGGCAGAATCAATACATAACTTTAAGAACAGGTATAATAGAACTCATGCAGCTATTAGAGAGTGAACTTAGTAGCAACCAGTGAAGAGGCAAGGCCAGGAGGAGAGAGACAACTCCTACAACCACAAATAGGTGAGTACACAAGCAACCAGAATTTAAGGTAAGAAAAAATTGATTTATGTAAGTTTTTAGTTACATAAATTAATTATGCATACCTCACTACATCCAACTCTAATAAATAAATAAATAAATAAATATATATATATATATATATATATATATATGGAGATGGGGAAGTACAGTGCCTGCACATCTGAAGGAGGGGTGTTAATGTTGCAGTTTAAAAACTGTAGTGTAAAGCACCCTTCTGGCAAGACAGTGATGGAGTGAATGATGGTGAAAGTTTTTCTTTTTCGGGCCACCCTGCCTTGGTGGGAATCGGCCAGTGTGATAATAATAAATATATATATATATATATATATATATATATATATATATATATCTTTCTTTCTTTCTTTCAACACACCAGCCGTATCCACCGAGGTGGGGTGGCCCAAAGGAAAAACAAAAGTTTCTCTTTCATATTTAGTAATATATACAGGAGAAGGGGTTACTAGCCCTTGCTCCTGGCATTTAGTCGCCTCTTACAACACGCATAGCTTACGGAGGAAGAATTCTGTTCCACTTCCCCATGGAGATAAGAGGAAATAAACAAGAACAAGAGCTAGTAAGAAAATATAGAAGAAAACCCAGAGGGGTGTGTATACATATGCTTGTACATGTATGTGTAGTGTGACCTAAGTGTAAGCAGAAGTAGCAAGACGTACCTGAAACCTTGCATGTTTATGAGACAGAAAAAAACACCAGCAATCCTACCATCGTGTAAAACAATTACAGGCTTACGTTTTACACTCACTTGGCAGGACGGTAGTACCTCCCTGGGCGGTTGCTGTCTACCAACCTACTACCTTTAATATATATATATATACACATATATATATATATATATATACAGGAAGGCCCCACTTATACGGCTGGTTAGGTTCCAGGCTACCGCCGTAAAGCGGAAACCGCCGTAAAGCGGAAACCGCCGTGAAGTGGAACCCCCTTTTTTTCCACTTACAAATGCATACAAACACTAGATAACAAGTTTACACTAACATATATTAAGTTAGCAATAGAACCAGGCATCAAAAAACAATAAAAAAGTACAATACACACATAGTGCACTCATTACTTACCTTAAAATATTTATAGTCTTAATCTAGGGTGAGACAAGTAGTATTTATTGTAAGAAATCAAGTGTGGTATGTATGGTAGTCAGCCAGGCTACCATACCAGGCCACCCCACCCACACATACAATTCTATGATATTTAAGCATCCCAGAGCGATAAAATGTATATACAGTTCACTCATTACTTTCCTTAAAATATTTGTAGTCTTAATGTAGGGTCAGGAGTAAGTAAATGAGATAAAACGAATAAATGAGAGAGAGAAAGAATGAGTGCATGAGAGAGGACAGGCGCAGAGTTATGTAAACAAACCAGGCGAAGGTAAGTTTTGTAAACGAAGTGTACACGTCTGGTTTGTGTACAAGTTACATTGTGTACAGGTTGTCTCTACAGTGATACGGTAGAATAAATAAAGAAGAACACTCCCATTCTCATGTAAACATCATTTTGAGAAGAAATGATGCTCTGAGTGAAGGCAATGGAAATAAGTCACTCTGACTTTTTTGGGTTATCCTAGGTTCTCTACACATATGTTGTTATGTATGATAATCTGTGTAACTGTATTTGTGTATACCTGAATAAACTTACATACATACGAAAGGAATAATTTTTCTACAGTTACCCCCAGTAACACATTTTCTCTTATGTTAGATTAGAGAAAATGTTTATTCTTGGCATCACTTGTACAAGTTATCTGGCTATCACATCTCATATTTATGTTTATTTATTCTATTGTAGGGTGTATTTATCATCTTTTTATGTTATGTATCGTGTTATTATATAATTTTGAAAAAAAATATCATGGATGGATTAATGAAAATGTGTATATTAACGTAATATACAACATTTAATGAGACTCGGTGATTATTATTATTATTATTAGCATTTCTAATATGGCGTCACTTGTGCAAGTCGTCTGCTACCACATCTCATATTTATCTTTATTTATTCTATTGTGGGGTGTATTTATCATCTTTTTATGTTATGTATCGTGTTTATTATATAATTTTGAAAAAATATCAAAGATGGATTAATGAAAATGTGTATTTAACGTAATATACGACATTTAAATGAGACTCGATGATTATTATTATCATTACTAATATGACGTCTGGAGACATAAGACACTCCTACTGATTTTAATGTGTACCTGCATGCCAGCACAGTATGTAAGTTTATTTAAGTACAGGTATACATAAGTATAATTATCAGAGTATATATAAAATATGAAATAACTTTTAAAAACATTTGAAATTTTGGAGTTTCCAGACAAAATGGAGAGACTTAGTGCTTACTGAGCTCACGAAGAATGTAAACAAACAAGGTGGGGCGCGGTGACCGTATTAGAAAGTCAGGTGGGGGAGCCGTATAGCGAGTTTTGGTCATAATTTGAAATGACCGTATTAGCGGAACGCCGTAAAGTGAAACGCCGTAAAGCGGGGCCTTCCTGTATATATATATATATATATATATATATATATATATATATACAATATATATATATATATATATATATATATATATATATATATATATATATATATATATATATATATGTGTGTGTGTGTGTGTGTGTGTATATATAATTTTTTTTTTATTATTACAAAACCTTAAAACAAATTAATTTGGTGTTTTTGGAGGTCCCTGGAGTGTAACCCTATTTTTCTTGTATGCTCTTTAGTTCATTATGACATTTTTTTATTTACACACCATTTTTAAGAACATAACTACCATGTTAAATCATATTCAGAATTAAATGTAATTTAAGAATAATGATAGTTTCAATGAAAAATTTATATATTAGTTACTTGCAATTATTGAGTGTGTATGATCTTTCCCTTCCATAAAGCCTTATGAGATTTGATGTGTTACTGGAGGATGAGCAGAGTAACATCTATGAAATGATTTGGAGACACTGGTTTCTCAGATTTTAGTTCTGAAGGTGAAAAATACAGTGCCTTCACTCTGAAGGATAGGCAGCTAGAAAGACAGCTAGCGAATGAATGAAGGTGAATGTGTTTCTGTCTTTTGGGTCATTATTCTTATGTGGGGAAATAGCAGTTGTGTTTATGAAACATATCACAATATTATGTTATGCATGGTGAATTTAATTATATGTGGTGAACAAGTAGAATTGTAGTAGTGTGATTGGTTGATGAGAATTTACATATATTCCATTCATGCAAATGTTTTTGCAGACCAAATATTAATTATTTTCCAGTACTAGTGTTCTCAATCAAATTTATGCATACAGGTCAAAATGTTTAGTTGGATAAAAATTTTATTTACAGGCAAAAAATAATTTTGTTGCAAGATAGATATTTCTTATAAAACTTTGTCTTGTGTGATTAGATGGAGTGCTGGTGGAGGAAGGTGCTGAATGGATTCATGGAGGAACACGTAACCCTGTCAACAGGCTGGCTGCTAGCCTCCAGGCTCTGGATCCCATCCTTCCTGATGATGCCTGGGGTAAGACCAGTCCTTTCTCACCATAGTAAAAGAAAGTCGTTTGTACGATATTGTACATAGCATAAATACAGTTATATACATATTGTAACAAACATGTCTTGGATTTCATGTCTTACAGCATATGACATTTTTTTTTGCCTTATATTTCAGTAGTGACAGTGATAATGTGAATGATGGTGAAAGTGTTTGTTTTTCAGGTCACCCCATCTCAGTGGGACATAGCCAGTGTGTTAAAAAAAATTCAACAGAGACATCATATATTGGGGACTGTGTGTAGCAACTATGGTGTACCTATTCATTATGACATATTACAAAGAAATATTGGTTCTGGAAGCAACTACAAGGGGCTTTACTACCCATTTTAAATAGCAACTTTTTAAGAGCATATAGATGTTCAAAGTTTAAAGTAATTGCTTAGAATTATTTTCAGAGCACTGTTTGGAATCCAAATAGTATAAAATGTTTTATTATTGTAAACAGGTATTGTTGTAGTTGTTTTACATTATGGTAGGATTGCTGGTGTCTTTTTTGTCTCATAAACACATCGGATAACAGGTATATCTTGCTACTTCTGCTTACACTTAGGTCACACTACACATGCATGTACATGTATATATATACTACACACTTATCTGGGTTTTCTTATGTTTTCTTAATAGTTCTTGTTCTTCTTCATTTCCTCTTATCTCCATGGGGAAGTGGAAAAGAATTCCTCCTCCATAAGCCATGCATGTTGTAAGTAGCAATTAAGATGCTGGGAGCAAGGGGCTAGTAACCCCTTCTCCTGTATACATTACTAAATTTAAAAAGAGAAACTTTGGTTTTTCCTTTTGGGTCACCCTGCCTTGGTGGGATGCGGCCAGCTAATTGAAAAAAAAAAATCGGTATTATATATAAGCAGGGTAAAATAATAAGGTATACTATAGTATAACTATTAGAGGATCTCTAATATTCATTTCAAGAGGTTCAACATAATAAAATAGATGAAAGCAAATGAAAGTATAGTAGGTGGCAAGGTAGGTGTAATATATAATGCAGCTTATTTTGCAAAACCTATAATTATACATATTTTTCAGGCAAATGGCTAAGGTGCTCGTTAGAGGGGTGGGATTAAATTATGGGGAATTAAATACAAAATGGGAATTGACACAGTTGCTTTTTGCTGATGATACTGTGCTTATGGGAGATTCTAAAGAAAAATTGCAAAGGTTAGTGGACGAGTTTGGGAATGTGTGTAAAGGTAAAAAGTTGAAAGTGAACATAGAAAAGAGTAAGGTGATGAGGGTATCAAATGATTTAGATAAAGAAAAATTAGATATCAAATTGGGGAGGAGGAGTATGGAAGAAGTGAATGTTTTCAGATACTTGGGAGTTGACGTGTCGGCGGATGGATTTATGAAGGATGAGGTTAATCATAGAATTGATGAGGGAAAAAAGGTGAGTGGTGCATTGAGGTATATGTGGAGTCATAAAATATTATCTACGGAGGCAAAGAATCGAATGTATGAAAGTATAGTAGTACCAACACTCTTATATGGGTATGAACCTTGGGTTGTGAATGCAGCAGCGAGGAGGCGGTTGGAGGCAGTGGAGATGTCCTGTCTAAGGGCAATGTGTCGTGTAAATATTATGCTGAAAATTCGGAGTGTGGAAATTAGGAGAAGGTGTGGAGTTAATAAAAATATTAGTCAGAGGGCTGAAGAGGGGTTGTTGAGGTGGTTTGGTCATCTAGTGAGAATGGATCAAAGTAGAATGACATGGAGAGCATTTAAATCTGTAGGGGAAGAAAGGCGGGGTAGGGGTCGTCCTCGAAAAGGTTGGAAGGAAGGTGTAAGGGAGGTTTTGTGGGCGAAAGGCTTGGACTTCCAGCAGGCATGCGTGAGCGTGTTCAATAGGAGTGAATGGAGACGAATGGTATTTGGGACCTGACGATCTGTTGGAGTGTGAGCAGGGTAATATTTAGTGAAGGGATTCAGGGAAACCGGTTATTTTTATATAGCCGGACTTGAGTCCTGGAAATGGGAAGTACAATGCCTGCACTCTAAAGGAGGGGTTCGGGATATTGACAGTTTGGAGGGATATGTTGTGTATTTTTATACGTATATATAAGTGAACAATATTTAGATAAAGCTAAAGAGGTCTTTGTGACATTTATGGATTTGGAAAAGGCGTATGACAGGGTGGATAGGGGGGCAATGTGGCAGATGTTGCAGGTGTATGGTGTAGGAGGTAGGTTACTGAAAGCAGTGAAGAGTTTTTACGAGGATAGTGAGGCTCAAGTTAGAGTATGTAGGAAAGAGGGAAATTATTTCCCAGTAAAAGTAGGCCTTAGACAAGGATGTGTGATGTCACCGTGGTTGTTTAATGTATTTATAGATGGGGTTGTAAGAGAAGTAAATGTGAGGGTCTTAGCAAGAGGCGTGTAGTTAAAAGATAAAGAATCACACATAAAGTGGGAGTTGTCACAGTTGCTCTTTGCTGATGACACTGTGCTCTTGGGAGATTCTGAAGAGAAGTTGCAGAGATTGGTGGATGAATTTGGTAGGGTGTGCAAAAGAAGAAAATTAAAAGTGAATACAGGAAAGAGTAAGGTTATGAGGATAACAAAAAGATTAGGTGATGAAAGATTGGATATCAGATTGGAGGGAGAGAGTATGGAGGAGGTGAATGTATTCAGATATTTGGGAGTGGACGTGTCAGCAGATGAGTCCATGAAAGATGAGGTGAATCATAGAATTGATGAGGGGAAAAGGGTGAGTGGTGCACTTAGGAGTCTGTGGAGACAAAGAACTTTGTCCTTGGAGGCAAAGAGGGGAATGTATGAGAGTATAGTTTTACCAGCGCTCTTATATAGGTGTGAAGCATGGGTGATGAATGTTGCAGTGAGGAGAAGGCTGGAGGCAGTGGAGATGTCATGTCTGAGGGCAATGTGTGGTGTGAATATAATGCAGAGAATTCGTAGTTTGGAAGTTAGGAGGAGGTGCGAGATTACCAAAACTGTTGTCCAGAGGGCTGAGGAAGGGTTGTTGAGATGGTTCGGACATGTAGAGAGAATGGAGCGAAACAGAGTGACTTCAAGAGTGTATCAATCTGTAGCGGAAGGAAGGCGGGGTACGGGGCGGCCTAGGAAAGGTTGGAGGGAGGGGGTAAAGGAGGTTTTGTGTGCGAGGGGCTTGGACTTCCAGCAGGCATGCGTGAGCATGTTTAATAGCAGTAAATGGAGACAAATGGATTTTAATACTTGACGTGCTGTTGGAGTGTGAGCAAAGTAACATTTATGAAGGGGTTCAGGGAAACCGGCAGGCCGGACTTGAGTCCTGGAGATGGGAAGTACAGTGCCTGCACTCTGAAGGAGGGGTGTTAATGTTGCAGTTTAAAAACTGTAGTGTAAAGCACCCTTCTGGCAAGACAGTGATGGAGTGAATGATGGTGAAAGTTTTTCTTTTTCGGGCCACCCTGCCTTGGTGGGAATCGGGCAGTGTGATAATAAAAAAAAATAAAAAATAAAAAATATGCTTCTAAGCTGTTGTGTTCTGAGCACCTCTGCAAAAACAGTGATTATGTGTGAGGTGAAAGAGTTGAATGATGATGAAAGTATTTTCTTTTTGGGGATTTTCTTTCTTTTTGGGTCACCCTGCCTCTGTGGGAGATGGCCGACTTGTTAAAAAAAAAAAAAATGATCTTCACAAGGGATATTCTATTTAAAGCTTTGATGTGTTCTATGACAGACTGGCGCTTGGTGACTCAAGATGGCAGAGCAGGTGACCATCAGGCCTATGAATTGGCAGAGAAGCTCTTGGAGAAGTGTAAAGAAAATGGTATACTGACTCCTTATTACAACACTAGTTATGGACAGTACTACGTAGATGGGTGAGTGTGGGATTACTACTCTGTGAGGACAAGTTGTAGTTAAAGAATCAATGTGCTCCATATTCATTGTTTACTGCATCTAATTTTTTCTAGTACAGTGAAGCCTTGATTTACGAGTGTCCCAACATACGAGTTTTTTGAGATACGAGCTGTCAATCGGTTGAGTTTTTGCTCTGAGTTACGAGCCAACATTTGAGCTATGAGCCAGCCCCCTCCCCCCCACTTCCCCCTCAACCAAAAACCTGGACACCTCTCTTGTTTATCTATGATTTCATGCTTTAATTCCATGGAAATCATCCTCTTTTCTCAGCACTGTCCTTTACACTTACTTTCTTAGGACCCATGGTTAGAAAAGCAAAATTTGGCCAAATGACTGTCAAAAATGACAGCAAAGCAGGAGAGAACTGTTCCCACAGCTAGGCAAGCAGTGCACTGAGTTGGCTTCGCTCTGAAGCTCTCATTGTTATAATAATGTATTATTATTTTTAATTTAGGGAACTGAAGCTCTTATCATTATTGTAATACAGTGGACCCTCAACCATCAATATTAATCCGTTCCAGAGAGCTTATCGTTAGTCGAATTAATTTTCCCAATGAGAAATAATGGAAATCCAATTAACCTCTTGACTGTCGAAACCCCTAAACCTGAAGTGTCTCCTGGCATCGAAAAATATTCGAAAAAAGAACAAATTTTTTTCTTATGAAAATGTTAAGATTATTTTTCTGATAGTTTTAGTCAAAAAAATTTTTTTTTGCCATCATTACTTACCAAGATATAGAGGCGTGAAGTTGGCAGAAAATGAGCGACTGCTGCTCACCCGGTAAACTTTGGTTTACTTGTATATGAAGGTTTCTTGTTTTTTTCACTATTTTATTTTTCACATAACTTATGTGGCCTGTGAGACCAAAGTATGGTGCAATGCTCATATATACATTGGTTGAATGTAACACAATTATAGCAAAAACACTAGTATCAGCATATTGTTTGCAAAGCTTGTTTACGCAAACAAACAGTATAAAAAATTCTTTATTACGATTGTTCTATAATATATACGTATGTACAATCACTGGACACTTTTCTAGAGCTGCTGCAGCTTGTGGAATTCTTTGAAACATGGGTGTATGCATAATGGTGTTTTACACTCCTCACACATAAAACAAGTGTCTCTGCGTTTCTGTGGGCGTTTTGTGGTATGTGCACCCACATAACACCTCTTCTGAGCATTTTTCTTGAAAGCAGTAGCAGGCAGTGGTAGGGGGTAGTGATCACCAGGCTTCAGACGAGGGGGCATGTGTTGATAATTCCGTGGGCACTGGTTTATTGCAAGTGTTGTTCCTTAGTACTTGAATATTATTTACCTGATAACTGACAAACAAAATTCACCATATTTGGGTTTGTTGCTGGTCTTGAACCTTTTTTTTTTTATAGCAAGTCGGCCATCTCCCAACGAGGCAGGGTGCCCCAAAAAGAAAGAAAATCCCCAAAAAGAAAATACTTTCATCATTCAACACTTTCACCTCACTCACACATGATCACTGTTTTTGCAGAGGTGCTCAGAACACAACAGTTTAGAAGCATATACAGTGGACCCCCGGTTAACGATTTTAATCCGTGCAAGAGGGCTCATCGTTATGCGAAATAATCGTTATGCGAATTAATTTTCCCCATAAGAAATAATGGAAATAAAATTAATCCGTGCAAGACGCCCAAAAGTATGAAAAAAAATTTTTTTTACCACATGAAATGTTAATTTTAATACACACAAACTGAAAAAGGCATGCACAATTACATGACACTTACTTTTATTGAAGATCTGGTGATGATTGATGGGATGGGAGGAGGGGAGAGCATTATCTTCTTACTGTTTAGAAGGGGAATCCCCTTCCATTAGGACTTGAGGTAGCAAGTCCTTTTCTGGGGTTACTTCCCTTCTTCTTTTAATGCCACTAGGACCAGCTTCAGAGTCACTGGACCTCTGTCGCACAACAATCTGTCCATAGAGCTCTGTACCTCCCGTTTCTTCAAGACTTTCCTAAAATGGGCCATAACATTGTCATTGAAATAGTCACCAGCACGGCTTGCAACAGCTGTGTCAGGGTGATTTTCATCTATAAAGGTTTGCAGTTCAAACCACTCTGCACACATTTCCTTAATCTTTGAAGTAGGCACAATGGATTCCACAACTGGCATAGGCTTCTCAGGGTTAGCCCCAAACCCTTCAAAATCTTTCTTAATTTCCATACTAATTCTCACCCTTTTTACCACAGGGTTGGCACTAGAAGCTTTCTTGGGGCCCATGGTCACTTATTTTCCAGAAACACCACCGAAAACACTGTAATAATACGAAATATTCCGAGTGTATGTTTGGATGTTACCGCGGAGGCTGGCTGGTAAAAAATTGGGGAGGGCCCGGGCACATGTGAGGGCACTTTGGGGCGGCTGGGCAAAATCGGTATGGGGGTTTTTTTTTAATCGTATCGGGGCAAAAATTTTGCGTAAAGTAATCGTTTGGGGGAAAAAATCGCTATGCGATGCCAGTTATGCGGGGCCACTGTACATATAAAGATACACAACATATCCCTCAAACTGCAAATACCCCAAAACCTTTTTTTGAGTGAAAGCATTGTTTTTCCCCTTTTTCCGGATCAAGCCCTGAATATAAAAAAAAAACCATTTCCCCCTGAATCCCTTCACAAAATATTCCCCTGCCACACTCCAACAGATCGTAAAGTCCCAAATACCATTGTCCCCATTCACCCCTACAAACACGCCTGCACCCCTGCTGGAAGCCCAAGCTCTCGCCACAAAACCCCCTTACCCTTCCTTTCCCCCCTTTTTTCGGACACCCCCCCCCACCTTCCTTTTCCTCAGTTTTACGCTCCCCAGTCATTCTACTTTGACCATTCTTTAAATGCCCAAAACCACCCAAAAAACCCTCTTAGCCCCTGCTAATACTTTTTTAACTCCCCCCACCTTCTCCTAATTTCCCCACTCCAAAATTTTTGCATAAAATTTACACCACACATTGCCCTTAGGCAGGACATCTCCACTGCCTCCAACCGCCCCCTCGCTGCTGCATTCACATCCCAAGCTTCACCCCATATAAGAGTGTTGGTACTACTATACTTTCATACATTCCCTTCTTTGCCTCCACAGATTAAGTCTTTTGTCTCCACATATACCTCCCAAGTATCTGAAAACATTCACTTCTTCCATACTCCTCCTCCCCAATTTACTATCCAATTTTTCTTCATCTATATCATTTGATACCCTCATCACCTTACTCTTTTCTATGTTCACTTTCAACTTTCTACCTTTACACACACTGCCAAGCTCATCCACTAACCTTTGCAATTTTTCTTTAGAATCTCCCATAAGCACAGTATCATCAGCAAAAAGCAACTGTGTCAATTCCCATTTTGTATTTAATTCCCCATAATTTAATCCCACCCCTCTCCTGAACACCCAAGCATTTACTTTTTTTACAACCCCATCTATAAATATATTAAACAACCATGGTGACATTACACATCCCTGTCTAAGACCTACTTTTACCGGGAAGTAGTCTCCCTCTCTTCTACACACCCTAACCTGAGCCTCACTATCCTCATAAAAACTCTTTACAGCATTTAGTAACTTACCACCTACTCCATATACTTGCAACATCTGCCACATTGCTCCCCTATCCACTCTATCATATGCTTTTTCTAAATCCATAAATGCAATAAAAACTTCCCTACCTTTATGTAAATACTGTTCACATATATGCTTCAATGTAAACACTTGATCTACACATCCCCTACCCACTCTGAAACCTCCTTGCTCATCCGCAATCCTACATTCTGTCTTACCTCTAATTCTTTCAATAATAACCCTACCGTACTCTTTTCCTGGTATACTCAATAAACTTATTCCTCTATAATTTTTACAATCTCTTTTGTCCACCTTCCCTTTATATAAAAGGACTATACATGCTCTCTGCCAATCCCTGGGTACCTTTCCCTCTTTCAGACATTTATTGAACAAAAATACCAACCACTCCAACACTATATCCCCCCCCCCCCTGCTTTTAACATTTCTGTCATGATGCCATCAGTTCCAGCTGCTTTACCCCCTTTCATTCTATGTAATGCCTCACACACTTCCCCCACACTCACATCCTGTTCTTCTTCACTCCTAAAAGATGGTGTACCTCCCTGGCCAGTGCTTGAAATTACCACTTCCCTTTCTTCGTTGACATTTAAAAGTTCCTCAAAATATTCTCGCCATCTACCCAAAACCTCCATCTCCCCATCTACTAACTCCCCTACTCTGTTTTTAACAGACAAATCCATTCGTTCTCTAGGCTTTCTTAACTTTTTTAACTCCAAAATTTTTTCTTATTTTCATTAAAATTTCTTGACAGTGCCTCTCCCACTCTATCATCTGCTCTCCTTATGCACTCTCTCACCACTCTCTTCACCTTTCTTTTACTCTCCATATACTCTACTCTTTTTATAACACTTCTGCTTTGTAAAAACCTCTCATAAGCTAACTTTTTCTCTTTTATCACACCCTTTACTTCATCATTCCACCAATTATTCTTCTTTCCTCCTGCACCCACCCTCCTATAACTACAAACTTCTGCCCCACATTCTAATACTGCATTTTTAAAACTATTCCAACCCTCTTCAACCCCCCCCACTACTCATACTTGCACCAGCCCACCTTTCTGCCAATAGTTGCTTATATCTCGCCCGAACTTCCTCCTCCCTTAGTTTATACACTTTCACCTCCCTCTTGCTTGTTGTTGCCATTTTCCTCTTTTCCCATCTACCTCTTACTCTAACTGTAGCTACAACTAAATAATGATCCGATATATTAGTTGTCCCTCTATAAATGTGTACATCCTGGAGCTTACCCATCAAACTTTTATCCACCAATACATAATCTAACAAACTACTTTCACTACGTGCTATATCATACCTTGTATATTTATTTATCCTCTTCCTCATAAAAT